TTCGAAATCGATGTTTTCCGAATAGAAGCTTACTTAAGAGAAGATATGTAATTTATTAGCATTACAGTACATCATTTCTTTGAACAATGCTTAGACTCGTGATATAGAATAAAGGTCTCCAGATAAATGTTATAATGGTATATTTCGACTCGTGAATGTAAAACAAACATCAAACACAGTAACGAGAAGTCTGTTTAATTTACAGACTCTATCCGACGTTCTGTTTATAGAGAAAATCATGAACGAAACATTCTACTTCTTGAGATGATCGATCAGTGATCAAAATAGACCCCTGTACTTGAATGAATTCATACTACTTCGATGAATTCTTTCTTGATTTTTTTTTCTCACCTGACTAACATGAACGAAATCGCTGCAATATATCCAGATTTTTTTCTTGAATCTTTGAATGTACATGTGTAACTATAACATAATCCTAAGCGCTCTTTATTCTCTCTATCTAAAAAAAAAGAAGGGTGTTCATGGCTATATATAGCAATTGATAATGCTCTAGATTTAGTAAGTGGTATACCTTAAAAATTGAGAGCTGAAGAATCTGTATGTGATTGGATGTTAAACACTTAATCGAAAGTCACTATAACAAGAGTAGGAGTTTGGTTGACCTATGACTAATGATATGCGTGGTATGTTTTCGTTCAACGAAAGATTCTCTTCTCGCTTGTTCTATCCACAAAAGGCTTATTTTCTTAGACCTTCTAAACTATCGTGTCCAGAAAAATTCGAGCGTCATTTGTTTTGCAACATTCAGTTGAAAATCCAAAACCACATAGACTTGCGATATTCTGACTTTTGATGCAGACATTTTCCACACTCAAACTTGCACAAAACTTAATTTTTAACCAAGGGACACAATATCTGGCCAGTGATTTAATGAAAAACACGCTAAAACACCATTCTCTACTCATCTCTTTCTTCAATATCTTTCCTTTTCACACACGCACTCATAGTACTCGACCTCAGGAGTAATGGGATCGCAATCCATGGTGCACAACATCTTGCCGATTCCCTCGCCAACAACACTATAAAACAGCATATTCTAGTCGTCCTACTCTTCACTATTTCCACTTTTCGCAAAGACAGTCGCTATGCTCTCGCTTCGATGGAATCAAATCGAACAAGAAGGGGCAAAACATCTAGCCAATGCTCTCATCAAAAACAGAGTAAAATGTCATTCTCTACTCATCTCCTTTTACACTATATTTACTTTTCATACAGACCCTCACAGCACTCGATCTCATGGGCAATGAAATCGGAGACGAAGGGACAAAACATTTTGCCATGCCAAGGTTCTCATCAACAACATGGTAAGCCACCATTCTCTACTTATCTCTCTCTTCACTATCGCCGGTTTTCACACAGACATTTGCCACACTCGACCTTGAGTGTAATCAAATCCGAAAAGAAGGGGCACAATATCTTGCTAATGCACTGATTAAAAACACGGTAGAGCACGATTCTTTACTCTTCTCGTTGTTCATTACCTCTACTTTTCGCATAGACACTCACAATACTCAACCTCATGGACAATGAAATTGGTGCTGATAGTGCAAACAATCTTGCCAATGCTCCTGTTTTGAACATAGTAACACATCGTTGTTTACTTATCTCGCTCTTTATTATGTCAAATTTTCCCATAGACGCTCGCCACACTTGCCCTTGAGCTTAATCAAATCGAAAAACAAGGAATAAATGGTGCGATGGAAATACTGAAGGCCAACGATACAGTGAAAGTGCTCTGGTGATAAGTCGTCATGTTGGTTTCAGACGTTTGTGTTCGCATGTTTTCTGGTCAAGGCCTGTTTTTCGGAATATTGTTTTTCGTTTTACGTGATGAAATTCCTGTTATATTTTAAAATGTTGTCTGTTGATTGTGTGACTTCATAGAATGTTGAATGAGTTAGGTGAGAATGTTATAGACGATTTGCTAAAATGACTTTACTGGCAACTAACAATTCATATTTACTTGATGCAATGCTACACATGGTCGTTTTCGCTGTTGAGCAATTGTGAAAAAGTCGTAAAAAGTACTTTTGAAAGCATCTTTTAGAGATCATCACATACGGGGATGTAGAACATTGATTTCTATCCTCGATTGTTCAGAAATTTTACTATATGCTATCGATAGTGTATAAGAGCGAACAGTTAAGTACCTATGAAACATATTTGATATTTAGAAAGCCTTGTTGAAGACTGTCCATTTCATTAATGAACCGACTGTAGTTCGAGGAAAGTATTTGTTCGTGATCTGAACTTCTTCGCTTTTATATTATGGAGAAATTGTTCGAACATTAAAATTAAGTCTTAAACAATTATTCAAATATTTGGATCAATAGCGAAAAGAATATATTGATGAAGATAATACATTTTCTTAAATTTCACTTATATTTTGTTTTCATAGTTCTTTCTTTAATATTAGAAAACAACCACTATTAATATTAAATTACCTGATTATGAAACATTACAAGCATACCAAATAATTGTAATCTAACGATAAAAGCATTTTTTATTAAGTTTAAAATAATTGTGTAGCTTTCGCTACTTAATCTCATGATTGTTTATTTTCAAAAGTTATTGATACCTGTTTAACGATACAAATGCAAATATTTAACAATATTAAAAGCCACATCATCGTTATTAAATGCAACATGCTTGCTAATACGAATTCACAAGCTGAAACTATCAGAGATAGAATGGTTCAGTTCCAAAGTGATATGAATCGATCTTATCTCTAAAACTAATTATTCAGAAGAAAAGATCATTTTCCCTGTTATAAACTGCCAAACAATTTTTAAATTAATCAATATTGAATAATCAAAGATTATCAAGGTATGTTTTTCTCAATGCAATCGTATGCAAATTAAAATTTGTTAAATTGTAGTAATCAATGTATATGTTCTATTTTTATATACAGTTTTAAATGTTGTTAATACTAGTTTGTTTTTTTTTCTGTTATCCATAGCTTTTTTGGACATTTTTTTATTGATTGTAACTATTTTCTTTTCTGGTTAATTATGCATAATTGATACACATACTAAAATAAATAAAAGAAAATAAGATATAAATATAAAAGCTGAATTTCAAATTTCTAGAAATGTCTGTACAAATTCATTGTTACTTGTTCAATTAGAGAAACGTACTTGTAATTTGTACCTTAATAAAAAAAAATCATATTTTCGAAAAAGTAGAAATTTATCGTTGAGTTTGTATGAGGATTTGTATAGTATTATTTTCTGTTCTCTATAAGTCATTTCCCACTTTACAGTATAGGATATATCCAACAGTATAGGTAATCTGATATGTGAATGAATATTCATCCATTAATACAATTAATATTACATACATTACCCCTACGATTGCTGGACCCTATAAAACTTGAAATTTGTTCAGTATTTATTAAATATGGCAAAGCTCTATACTTTTATGTCGCATATAGATGCATTTGATTGAATCAAATGTGCATTATGATTAGCTCAAAAATCAATTAATAAACCAAACTAGTCTTCTAGTTTATCGATACATACGAGAGACATAACTTTTACTAAATAAACTTATTCTATTAAATAAAATCCATCAAAAACTGACTCAAAAATAAAAATGTTAATTATTATTCTGAAGAGTGTGAATGTACCTATGTGTCTATTAGTATACTGGTGGACATGGCAATAGGGTACATGCTATTGCACGGCGGTGTAGAGGTGTTAGTTTTGTTTAGATGAGGTATGGGTAGATTGCTGTGATGTATGAGTCTGGTGGTCAAAAAATTCAGTTCTAGTTGTGGATGTTTGGATATTTCTGTGAGTGGTTGAACAGATGAAGAGAAACACCACATTACATATACACACAAACAACTTCACGCAGTCACAAAAACACTGAGATCCAAAGGCACAGTCACACACCACATATATACCAGGTCACCACACTCACACCCACATTCCTATCCTCACCTACATTCTACACTTGAAAATTTTTATTTTATTCAATTTTCGATTTATTCTATGCCGTCCGTATTTTTTCGAGTGTGTTCTTTATATTACACAATATTCATCATCAGAAAGTCATTTTTTTCTCAATTATTCATGAATCTCTGACAAATAATGAGAACAAATTATAAATAATTTGTGATTTATTCACATAAATTGTACTGTTATTCAACAAGACAACTCATAATGTATATAATCATGTGATCTATAGATTTTAAATATATGTATATATGTCATATGAAAACGTTCGTGAAAGTTGTACCATCGATCGCATTGAGTTAATTGACATCAATTTCAAGAGAAGTATAGCATAGATAAAATTTCAAAGTCAACTTGTACAGAAGTGAAACAGAGTATGCTACTATTTTAAGAGCAAAAGTCATCTCTGACAAAATGTTTGCGATTCTAAGGCATTTGTTCGAAAAAAAGCTGAAGATACATTTCGATAGAAGATAATCTTTCCTATTTAACTATATGACAACGATCTTTCAACAACATTGAAAATGCATCACTGTTCATGATTCATTCAGTGTACAATTTGTTGATTATCTTCTTCTTTTCTGTGTTGCATTTGGAACTCTTTACATATTTCCCGCTTTTAACTTGACATACTTAGTATACAATCAATTTTCTCCTTATATATACGGTATGAAAGATGTCGTTGCATACCAACGTTAGTATCTTAAATAAAACTGAACTTTTACATCATTTTTCTTTACTTTTTTTTAACCACTTTCGTTTTTTCATTCAATCTCATGTTCATGACGGTATATATTCAGATAAATCCTAATAAAAATGTTGAATTTTATATGACAGCATGGTGACTACTAACCAATAGAAAAACGTCCACGCATACACTTTTTTGTGGTAGACTATGCCACGAGTCAGTCTCTCGTTGTCGATTATGTTTACGAAATGCCAAATCATCACATTAATACTATATATGAACTTTTGATATAAATTCGCTTTTATTTTGTAGAATTCTTTTAAAACACAGCAATGCTTGCTAGAGCACCACCACCTTTGAACACAAGTTCTTTTCCGCCAACAATGCAACAGCAATCACAATCATCATCGCAAAGATTTCCAAAGCAATATCAACCGCCTGTTTTACCACCTAATTTTCAAGGAAATCCACAATATCAAACTCAGCCACCAATTTCAATTCAACCTCCAGTTTCATCACCCAATTTTTCAAGCAATCAACATTATTCAGCACAAATGACAAATGGAATGAGTATGATGTCTAAAACTCTCATTTCAAATAAGAAGATATTTATTTATTTACTTCAGATCAACCGCTGGTACAACATCCGTATTTTAACTCTGGATTACCACCATCGTCTACTCAAATGCAATCTACATCTGTTACATCTATTCAATATAGTGCTTCACCAACAATAGCTAATACTCAATTTCAAAATTTAACACATCCTCCTCCTAATCAATCTCCATCAAATATGAGTGGTGCACCATCATATCAACCAAATCAATATCCTCATGGTCAACCTTCATACAATGGACCACCACCTTCATTTCCACCAAATAATCGACCATCACCACCACCCACAATAGGCTATCCGCCACAATCTCATTATCCTAATCTATCTGGTCCGCCAACCATGCTCGGTAGTCAATTGAATGCACCAAATACATATCCTGGTCAACCACCATCAAGTGGACCAGCACAACAACCAATGCCACAATCACGTATTGATCCAAATATGGTACCTAATGTTGTACGTATATTTAGTCTTGAAATAGACAGAGAAAATTTCATTCATGATAATCCTAATTTAGATTGAAGTACTTGAACAAAGTCAAGAAAAAATTCAAGAACCATTTATAACAAATGCTCCAGGTTTATTACCACCATTAGTCGGAACAAATTTTATTTGTCAAGATCAAGGTAGTTGTAATCCATGTTTCATGCGTTCAACTGCATATTCAATACCAAATGCAACTGATTTGGTTAAACAATCCCATATACCTATTGCTCTATCCATTTCTCCATTGGCGGATCTTAGATCAGATGAGGTGATTTTCATATATATTTTATTCATGCAATTAAAAACGGAAAACTAAATTTTCTTTTAGCTTGAACCACCAATAACTAATTTTGGTGAAATAGGTCCAGTACGATGTCATCGTTGTAAAGCATATATGTGTTCATTTATGCAATTTATTGATGGTGGAAAACGTTTTATTTGCTGTTTTTGTGAAGCAGCAACAGATGGTTAGATTAACAAAAAAAAACAAATAGTGTTTTTTTCTCTATATGATTAGTTTTATTTTTTGACTTTTTTTTTCTAGTGGCCACTGAATATTTTAATCATCTTGATCATAGTGGTCGTCGTGTAGATTGGTATCAACGACCTGAGCTTTGTCTTGGTTCGTATGAAATTTTAGCAACACAACAATATTGTAAAGTATGTTAGTTTTAGTTTATTTTTTATGGTATTTTTTTGTTATCTTCTCTGTAGGATGAAAAATGGCCCGAACCACCAGCATTTCTATTTATGATTGATGTATCTTATAATAGTGTTCGTAGTGGTCTTGTTGAATATATTTGTCATATATTAAAAACAGAACTTCTTGATTATTTACCAAAGTTGGTTAATTATTTTATGTTTTTTGATAATTATAATTATTTCATATGCATATATGTATAGAGATAAAAATGCTGAAACATCGACAGTACGAGTTGGTTTTGCAACATTTGATAAACAAATACATTTTTATAATATTAAAGTAAGATACTTGATAGATTTTTATTTATTGTCAGTATCATCATTGAATTTATCGTCTCTCTTTCAGGGGGCAAGTAAATTATCTAGAAAGAGAGAGCGAAAGAGAGTAGCTTATTTTTATATTTGTTTTTGGTAGTGTATTCATTTTTGTCTACTATTTTGTTCGTCTAATTATCACACATCGTACAGCTCTAAACATATTTTCGTTTTATGGTTGCATTTGCATATCACATATTCTTACACGAAATGAAAAAATGTTTAATTTTCTTTTCACATGAATTTTATTTTTATTTTTTATTAGAATACACTTGGACAGCCCCAAATGATGGTTGTCTCCGAACTTGAAGATATATTTGTACCATTACTTGATGGTTTTCTTTGTTCACCACAAACTTCACGCAATGTGATTAACACGTAATTAAATACAAATTTATTAAAAGAAATATTCTTTTTTTCGTGTACTTCTTTTTTCTTATTTATAGTTTACTTGATAATATTCCACAAACATTTGCAAATACGCAAGAAACAGAAACTGTATTAGCACCAGTTATTGAAGCAGGCATTCAAGCGTTAAAAGTAAGACTCGACAAGAAGATTTTTAAATAGATTACTATTAGTATAGACAGTTAAACAGAATCTTATATGTTTTAAACGACTACTAGACTAATAGAAGCATATAAAAACGACTTGATAGTATATGAGGACGAGACACAATGACAGATAGAGAAAAAAAAATTGAACCTATCGAATATTTGACATCTTTATAACAAGTATATAAACTCTTGTTCAAATAAAATAATAGAATCATGACTTACAAGGGAACCTCACCAACTGATTAAAAGCTTTTGGGCTCATATTCTGGTTATAAGTAGGACTTAGTAGCACTAGAGGAACTCCAAAAGAATTTGCCCCCATAGACATATGTGGTTGAGATACGGACGTTTTAAGTTTCGGACCAGAAGCATACATAAACTGCTTCTTTTTCTTGAATTACAATACTGTAACATTTCAAAAGAAAAATTTCTTTTTGAAATACTCATAGCTAAGACATCAAGCTATTGTAAAAAAAATCATATTGTTGCGTTGGTCAGATGAGTTAAGTGCTATAGAAAAGAAGCATGAAGTATTAGTACTTTAATACAATAGAATTGTTTCATGTATGTGCTTTAAAAACCGTCATATGCATTTCTCAATTACTTGTATCTGTTGCTTTGTTTGAATATATCTCCTCATTCATAGTTTATCTTTCATTTTCATTTGACTGATCTGGTTTTTTATTTCATTTGAAGTCGCAACTCACATCAGAACGAGTATAAACAAAAGAATAAAGAGAGCCTTCTATAGAAATGTTAGAATGTTGTAATTCAAGCATTAGAAGTAGTTTATTTACGCTGTTGGATTTAAACTTGGAACATTCATAATTTAACTAAAGAGACCTATGAAAACAAATCCTTTTGGAGTTCTTCTAATTCTATCAAGTCCTACTTATGGCCAAAATATGAGCCTTAAAGCTTTTAATCATTTAGTAGAGTTCTCTCGTTAGATTAAAACTGTTTCACGTCAAGGCAAATCGTAAGATCTCTAGAAAAGTTCTTGTACTAAATGTTAGATCTGTCTAACAGTTTTATCGATAAGAATCGATCTGTGTGAAATAGATCCAAGCTTTGTAGACATAACATTGAAATATAATAGTTCTTATCAAAGTTGAGGGTTTATCGTATTTACAATGCAACAATCCGTATTGATACCCACTACTTGAGCTCATATTGATCTCGTAATGAGGTCTCAGTAAGACAAGATAGAGGTACACTGGAAAATCATAAAAAAAAAGAACTTCCACGTTACATTTTACCTATCTATAGGTCGAATGGTCCGTAGAATATCTTTAAAGTTTCAACCGAAAAGAATGTTCGTTTGTCGAGATATCGAATTTCAAAAGAATCATCATTGCCGGCGCAAGGTTTCAGAATATTCTATGAATTATTAGATCTATCTATGTGTCAAGTTTCACACCGTAATTTTGCCTTTCGATTTCGGTATATATCTAAAGAAAGGTCGAACATTCACAGAAAACGATTGTAACTTGACTCCAAAGACGGATGGGGACGAATCCTTGTAGCCCCAATACGAGCTCAAACAATAGAAATCAAGTCGGACGATTCCTTGGTTCGTGATAGAGTCCAATTAACATAATCAAACTATCAGGTCTCATCTGACATCAAGTTTTAACATAAGATTATCAATAAACATTATCACATTGTATATAATTATTGATCTAATAATCTGATCATCATATGTATTTTAAATCTTCAATGATTGTAATCATAGTTACGACTAAGGCAATTTTGAAATTTTTCATCATTGACAATATTTCTGTAAAAAAACAATAATTACATCATTTATTCGAAGACAGTACAATAAAATAGATTTATTCATAAGTAAATTTAATATACAATAGGGAGCCAATTGTTGTGGTAAAATTTATATATTTTCAACAACATTACCAATTGCTGTTGCTCCTGGAAAATTATCAAATCGTGATGATAAAAAATTACTTGGTACTGATAAAGAAAAGGTTGGTTTGTTTTTATTTCGTTTTTCTTGTGTTGAATTAAATTTATAAAAAAAAAAAAAATATCTTCAGATACTTCTTTCACCAGTTGATAATTTTTATACAAAACTTGGTGAAGAATGTGTTCAAAATGGTTGTGCTGTTGATTTATTTGTATTTCCAAATAATTATGTTGATCTTGCTACAATTGGTGAAGTTTGTCGTGTATCTGGTGGACAAATTTATAAATTTAATTACTTTTCAGTAAGATTTTTTTTTCCATGTATAAAAATATTTAATTTTTTTTTTTTTTTTGATTTTTAAGATTGAGAATGATGGTGAACGTTTATTAGATGAACTTAAACGTAATTTTCAACGAACTACTGTTTTTGATGCATTAATGCGTATACGAACTAGTGCAGGTATTTAAAAAGAAAATAATATTATTCATCAATAAAAAGAAAAATTTTTTGATCTAATTTTCAGGCATTCGACCAGTTGATTTTCTTGGTAATTTTCATATGACAAATGCAACTGAAATGATATTTGGTACAATTGATTCAGATAAAACAGTATCCGTTGAATTAAAACATGATGATAAATTACCTGTTGAAAATAATATTTGCATTCAAGTAAGTTAAGTTATTTTTTATTTATTTATTGTTTCATTCTTTCGTTTTTTTTTTCAAATAGGCCGCTTTACTTTATACTAGTATATCTGGTCAACGTCGTTTAAGAATATTAACATTAGCATTAACAGTAACATCATCATATACATCACTTTATCCATCATGTGATCTTGATACAATTATGAATTACATAATAAAAATTGGTTAGTAGAAATATAAAAATAAAAAATTTCAAGATCTTTTTCTTTTTTGTTTGAATAATTATTTTAGCTATTCGTTCAATATCAATGTCAACTCCAAAAAGTATACGAGAAAATATAATAATACAAGCTGCTAATATGTTAGCTTGTTATCGAAAACATTGTGCACAAACAACATCAGCTGGACAATTAATTTTACCTGATACATTAAAATTATTACCTATTTATGTAGCATCATTAGTTAAATCTGATGTTTTAACTGGCAGTATGTTAAAAAATTTTTGTTTTTTATTTTTCATTTATTTATTAATATTAATTTTATTTATATATAGCTCAAACACTAACAACAGACGATCGAAGTTGGTTAATGCATCGATTAATGTCAATGAATATAAAAGGAACATCAGCATATTTATATCCAAGAATTTATCCATTGGTTTGTAGATTATTGAAAAAAGAAAGAAATTTTTCATTTTATTTATTTTATTTTACTTTAGCATAATTTGGACGAAAATAATATTCCACCATCAATGGTTCGATGCTTATATGAACATTTATCTGATTCAGGAGCTTATGTTATTGGTAAGATAATAAATTTTATATTATCTTCTTTAGAATATGCATAGAGAGCAGCAATTGATAATTGTAAATAGATATGCATGGGACTAATTCCACACATAATAGGAGACCCGAGTCTTGTGAATAAAGCCTTCGTTTAAATCTTTTTTACCTTTTTTTTTTGTTGAAATATTGCTGAGTTGTGTTTATTGGAGAATAAAAGTTACGAAAGAATAGAAAAGAAAGTAATAGCTTATGTATGCTTAAAGGGACTATATAATGTTTGGAGGAAGAAAAAAGCTATTATCAGCTAGAGTCACAACAATAGTAAAAAAAGGGAACTGTCGATGGTGCAAAGAGTAGACGATGCTTAATATTAAATTGCATTTGTGTCAGCAATAATATACATTAAGTGAATATATAAAATATCAAGGAACAACCTTGTGCACTTCATTGTGACGATCAAAATTCAAATTTTGATAATTATGATCATTCTAACAATGATTCAAGTATTGAAATCGTTTCAACTATTGATAAATGTGAAAACAAATTAGTACATTTATTGATACAGCCTCGATCGGAATTCAAAGACAATAACAAAATAATGTAAACAAAAGAAAACCTCACATATGTGAAACATCATCAATAGTAACAAAATGGAATAGCTCATTTTAAAACAATTTATGAACAAGTGACATTTAACTGTAGTTCTTTTTCTTTTGTATTTGAAACATAATCATAATGAACTAACTGAAATGCAATAGTGATAGTTGATTATTTAAAGATAGAAGTTTATATTAGAACATTCGGATCTTTTATTGTGTATGTGTGAACGGAAAAAGAAGGTAGTTGTTTTTAGTCTTTGTTCTAGTCTTGATCTAAAAGAAACTGATCTTGTTTCTACCGGAAACAACATCATCTTCCCTTTATCTATCTAGAATACATGAGTGGTGACAATATGATATTCAACGTCAGTTTTACATGACCATCAATAAGGCCATACCAAAATGAATAAGTGTTGGTCATAGTTTAGAAAATATAACGCAGTACATTTTGAATTAAACTTTATGACAAACAATATAAACTTGTTGTTTTTTTTATATAAATATTTTTTAGAGAATGGTCTTTTTATGTATATTTGGCTTGGTAGTCAAATCGATCCCACATTTGTGCAATCTTTATTTGATCTTCAATCTGCAGCAAATATTCAACCAGAAAGAGTAGAAACTTTAATCTATGTACATACGTATATATATATTAAAGATCCATTTATTTTTAGTGTCGTATTGTTGAGCTTGATAATCCAATATCAAAGAATGTTCGAAAATTGTTAAAAATAATTCGTAATGAACGAAATTCCCATATGAAAGTATGTTAAATAAGAAAAAAAAAACGATTTCCTGTTTTTCTATAAATTTTTTCTTTATAGCTTTTTGTTATTCGACAACGTGATACAATAGAACCATTTTTCAAGAATTATCTTGTTGAAGATAAAGGTTTCACAGGCGGTGCGTCTTATGTTGATTTTCTTTATCATTTACATCGTGAAATTCGAATTATTCTGCAATAAAAAAAAGTTTTTTGTTTTTTGTTTGTTTTTGTTTTTCTTTATTTTTTTTTGATCGTTGGGTCTTGAATTTATATATATGTATTGCTAGTTGTTATTATTTTTTTTCTGATTATATTTGTCACATAATCAGTCAAAAGGATGAAATTTGTGCAAAAATTAATGAACATTCTTATTTTCTCATTGTTATTTTCTTCTTCGTTTTAGCTCATCTGACTTCTATCTTATTTATTTATCGAAATAAAAAAAAAAAAAAAAGTTCGATTATGTTATGAATCATTTTTTTTACTTAAAGTTATACTAGAAAGTTAGTATGCATAAGATACTATATCTAAACGAAAATCATATATGAGAATCCATTTATTTTTTATAACAAAGGAAAATCTTTTACATTATTTAATACAAGCATGAATTTGATCAACGAAAGAAAAAATCGTCAAGGAAAATAAGCTCGGCACGTAAAGTCGAAATTTCGAGTTTATTCTTTCATCTACATGTTACCAATAAATTTTCGATGCCTAGTCGATAGTAACAATTGACTAAAATTGTTCGATATTATTTTCGAATATAAGGCCAATAAATTTTTGAGATATATTTGAACATGTTAAACAAACCTTTTGAAAGGTTACATGCATAATATTTTTGTTGTTTAGCTTAATCAGGATTCGTCGTCTGCCAACCTTTTGCATATATTATCTGCATTATTTAATAAACTTTAAGTATTATCTTAAGATATCTTGGGTAGTTTATCATTCTATAGTTCAAAGCCAATTCTACTCATGTAAATGTTGTTTCAGATTGTTCCTAAATTGTTTTTATATCTTAAAAGCACATGAAACTTGTTCTTAAAGAATATTTCATACATTTTCTTTCTATTGTCTTTATATTTGCTAGATTTCTTTTAGCAGATTTTTTCCGCACACTGATAAAAGGTGAACAATGGCAAATAAATAAAACGTTTAAGACATCATTAAATCAAGAGTAGTGAAAGTTTTTAGAGCATTTATTATGCATTTTACTCTTGCGGTAAGAAAAAAATTAACAATATGAAGTTAGACCACAATTTGAAAAGCTCTTAACAACACAGGAAAAGTCTCGAGAATCAGCGCTAGCACACTCAAGATAACTGTAAAAAGTTACAGATATTATGTTGCTATGGGACTTGAAAGAGCGAATTTCGCGGCTGTACAAAGCTGAAGCCGAGGATCAAATTGAAACAGTTAAATCATCAAGACTGATACAAAAATTCGTGAATCTGTCAAGGAATCTTCACTTTTTTCTTTGTTGAAAACAAACATTTCAATGCTATTTTGCTGAAATACTGAAATATGTAGTATCTTTGATTTCAACAACTCAATAATATAAACTCAAAAAGATTACAATAGTAGATTCAACAATAAAGACTTGATATGTTATAAAATATGGACTCAGGTGAAATGAGCTGGAAGTTTTGAATTTAAGCAGTTTCGAGTTTACTTTTTTTTGGCTTTTGAACAGTGCATTATTACATATCAACTCAATATATTTTATTTTGATAAGACTCAAATATTGAAACTTAAACAAATTTGTAATAATGAAAGTGACATTTTGGTTTTTTAATCGAGCCTCTTTTGTCATACACTTCATCAATACAACGAAATAAACATACAATCTTAAAAGTAATTTCATTACAGCCTTGATGTAATTAGCTAGTTTTCTCGAAAAGTTGTATTGAATATTGTACTTTGTTTATCAGATAGTATTGATATAAATACCGTAGAAAAAATATTAGCTAAGATTAATGCAATTTGTAAACGAATCTACGATAGCTTTCAATTCTATGAGCCGAATCATTTTTGAGAATTTAGTGCAGTAATTACTTGCATAGACCAACAAAACGAATTTTTGCATACAAGTTCAGACCATAGAATTCCACCTATTCTAATGTGGAGACTACTCTTGCATCAACAAGAATCAGACGACTCGGTCAACAAATTTTATATGAATCGGACGTATTTTTCTAGTTACATTAATTTGTACAGAAGAGATCCTCTAATGTCTTTTTCGTTTGAGTCGATCTTCGCCATATTTTCTAATTCTGTATGAAATTGTCCATTAATTGCGATGCATCGAAACGGTACTCGTGCAGTAAAATGCGATAAATCAACGATTTTCCCTCTAGTTCAAAAGATTTTGTTCATAAATAGTCATTCGCTCACAGATTTTACTCCAGGAAAACTCATCGATATTGGTGAGTTCTCTCATCAAAGTGCTATTTATTCCAAATATGAACATTGATCAAACCAACTAGTGGCTATTAATTTGACATACATTTATAGTACTAAGTATATATATACTGTATTATTTTATTAACGAACAGCATGAAAACAAAACATTATTATACAGACGTGTGCATCTTAATTCACTTAAAATATAAAAAGATTAGAAATAACAGAACACTATTCATGGGTGCAAATCACTAAACCATTGCTGTGTTTGTAAACGCTCTATACAGAATCATCAATCGTGAAAATTGTAACATCTACAACAAAAGAGAGCTGAGAAAGAGTATTTGACAAGGAAAAATTGAGGTGGCAAATCCTAAGTGTCTTCGCTGCAAAGTAAAGAAAGAATTTCGAATCTAGGTAAGACGAAACTGGATACTAGTACGATGAATCGCGTAATCACAACAGTAAAACATAGAACTTCTTGTGATTATACTATAGATAGAATAAAACTGAAATGAACTGTAAAGTTCTCTTATTCTATCATTATCCAATCCCCTGCATGATACAATAGTGACAGCCATTATGACAACTAAAATTGTTTTGGCTTGAAACATTTGTATTTCAATGCATGAAACTTTGCGTAAGATGTTTTCATATTGATTTCTTGAATTCTGAGAATTTTTTTCTTCATAACTAATTATCTATTGCTAATTAGTCAGTGAACAGGTTGATTAAATTGCGATTCATTGTGATGATTTGAAAAAATCTCTTTGTCTTACAAATGACCGTGATAAAATCTGATTGTATTGCTGATTTCTTAAAGAATCCGATTCATTTCAATTTCCCACTGTCTTTTTAAATCACTAAAATCATCACGATTTTCGCAACATGGACCTTTTCCTAGACTCAAAAGTTCACTTTTTTATGGGTTTGACCTTTTATCGATGAAAAGACATCCCAGTGTCCCCTATCGAAAATCATATGAATGCATAGTTTTCGTTGTACTCAAAAACAATCTGACATTAGAGATCTTCTATTACACTCTGATATGGCCATTTTTGTGCTTGTTTCTTTTTTGTTGTGGCTCTTTCAGTCTGATCATGTGTATGTTTTTCTTGTTTTGTCATTCCCATGACTGTTTTTGCTCTATTTGCTCCTTATCTTAAACTTCCTAGCTATGTCTTTCTTTTCTTGCATCGCAACTCGCATCTAGATTTTTTTCTTTCCTTTCCACAATTATCATGCGTATTTTTCTTGCATCGCAAGTCTTAGTGCAATTATTTTTCTTTTTCTCCATTCTGTATTAATTGATGAGTTAGTAGCTTCCTGTATCTCTTTTCACGTGGTTTCTTTCTCTGTTGTTTTTTGTTTTCATTTCATGTGATAGTACAAATCATTCACTGCTCTGCGTAACTACTGCAGTTTTTCTTTTTTTCATCTTTTGTTCGGATAACTTCATTTCTATCTCAAATATTCAAGTCGTGATAACAGGTAAACAATTACTGTTATTAAGTCTCTTTCAATCTAACGCATTTCGTTCAGCGTGTGCCCTTTCTTGTGTGATGTATTATAATCTTTCGAGTGTTTTTCTCTCTTTCTTGTATCCATAATGATAAATGTCCATTGCAAGAGTTGGTCAGAAAACGGAGAATCAAAATAAAAGCAAATCAGTATTAGAAGGAGATGATGGCTGAATAGAAGGAAATTTTTTATCTTTTTTGTTATTAGTTTGATAAAGACAAGATCGTAGTGGATAAAGCTTTCTGTTTATCATCAATTTTCTTCATTTTTAGTATTCATATTGAAAAGAAATGCACTGACCGTATGAATTTGATTACGATGGAAAATTACATGTCAGTCAATCCATTATATTTTATTTACTGATTTTCTACTTCAGATAATAAACAATTAGTAATTCTCGTTGTTTAGATCGTCTTCCAGTACTCGCCTCTGGTCACGTGCTCATAACTCACAATTTTTTTATTTCGTGAGTATGAGGATTCTAATGACTATTAGGGCAGTTCTGATGCATATAGATTTAGTCTACAAGCAATAAAAATTGAATTGCTTTTATTTCTATTCTACATTGGTACTTGCACACCACTACGGCGCCTAAATAACATATCAGAAGTGTAAAGAAAATACTTGGTGTGCATTTTGATTAGCGTATATTATTCTGTTCTCTAACGTCTACAAAATCGCAATTCATTCATGTTGTCTGTATGTGTGCCTAGACATGAGTGTTAAATATATCCTATGTAACAATTTAGTACAACTCAATTGTCTAACTGAAATCTCATGTTTTTTCTTTGCACACAGAAATAAATTTATGTAGCTCTAGGCTCACCAAGTCCGATGTTAACACTAAAATATATCATGTAACTAGATAGAGAATTTTGTGCTTGTTGTTCCTATTATATTTTCAGTATTCTAACGCTTATCCATCAGAAGTAAAGGCTTCAGACTAAAACTTTCCGCCTAATGTAGAATTGGATTATCAGCAAATGGTTATGAATTTTAATTTGAATTGTAAAAACGGTTGTATAATTTATATGAATAAAAAGTGGAAGGACAACAGTTGATCAAAAAACAGATTTCTTCGTGTTTTCATATTTGTTAATTCAATGATTTTTCTCAGAAATATTTTTCTCCGACATTTCGAAATACATATAAAACAATGTAAAATTTCACGGAAAATATTGTAGCATAGTTAAAGTTTCAGTAGAACTGTTATTATTTGTTTTTTTTTTGTTTTTTATCCTTCGCAGTTTGCTGATTGAGCAGGTCTTAATTGAT